AGAAAAACTGAGGCAAGAGAATCACTTGAGCCCAAGAGTTGGAGGTTGTTACTGTAAGCTATGACGCCACAGCACTCTAACCAGGACAACAGCTTCAGACTCTGTCTCAAAAGAAAAAAAAAAAAAGAAAGCTGAATATAGTCTTTTATTTCTTTTGCTAACTGTGGTCATTTTTTTTCCATTTAATTAAATCCCTCTAAACATTTTTAAAATTATTTTTCAAGATCCAAGCAAAGAAAATCCATATGAAGATATTCCAGTGCAGCCTCTGCCCATGTGGAGATCTCCTTCAGCATGGAAGCTACCACCCCCCAAGTATGCTTTCAAGGCACCCAAGGTATAACAGAAGATTAATTGAGGAAAAATTAGAATCTTGTTAATGATCCTTATAAAAATGTTAGAATGGTTTAACAGGGGCCAAAGCATAATAAGCAATGAAATGTAGGTTTTATTGTTAGTGGTGGTTTTTTGTTTTTGTTTTGTTCTTTTGGCCAGCCCACAACTATTTGTTTTGTTATTGTTTTTGTTGCTGTTTTAGCTCTTTGAAAAACTTTAAATAGGAGTACCTTTAGACAGCCACAAACAGTTCAATTCACTGTAGTTCCCACTGTTACTCAGTATCCATAGTTTCACATCAACCTAGGACTTAAATTACCTGCCTGGTCCCTGAAGCATTTGAGACCCCTGGAAGCAAAAGCTCCCTTGAATTAATGAAGCCTATGAGCTGTTGTTTTGGGGAAACTTGATTACATTATAATAGAACTTTGTATTAGATACCTGAGAAGGCCGGGAGGGGTGGCTCATGCCTGCACTCTGGGAGGCTGAGGCACCTAGATTGCCTGAGCTCAGAGGTTCAAGACCAGCCTGAGCCAGAGCAAGACCTTGCCTCTAAAAATATGGCCAGGCATTGTGGCGGGCACCTATAGTCCCAGCTACTGGGGAGGCTGAGGCAAGAGAATTGCTTGAGCCCAAGAGTTAGAGGTTGCTGTGAGCTGTGACGCCACAGTACTCTACCTGGGGCGACAAAGTGAGACTCTGTCTCAAAAAAATAAATAAAAGAAACCTGGGAAATTTTTTTGCAAGTGGTGAGAAAGAAATTATGGTGTTTTCATTTGAGACCATTTTAAAGGCAAGATAAATACTTTTCTGGGATAGCTTTGGCTTCGTATGAGAACATAGGCATTAAGTAGATGATCTTAACCCTCACCAGTACATCTTTTCTTGTTTAGCTTCCTCCGAAACCTCAATTCCTTCACCGGAAGACCATGGAACTGAAAAACTCACAGGCTTATTTATGGCCAAAGCGAACGAAGGATACCACGTTGCCTGTCACATTAACTGAATGGAAGCTTTTCCGAGATGGAGAAGTTGCAAATGGGAAAAAGAAAAATCTTCCAAGGGTGAGGACTCTAATACTTTCACTCTTTGACTCTTCAGCATTTCCACAAATGAGAATAAATAAACTTTAAACTAAAACGAATAATAGGCTAGAGGAGACCTATTGGAATTAGAAGACTTGGCAAGCAGCCTTAACTTGTAACTTTTTGCTCCTGCAAGAAAAGTGTGTGAATGACTTTTGCCAAAGTCTCTTTATAGATTTGGAAAATTGATGTTAGGTGAAGGATTTCACTTCCAGTGCCTCATCTGTCATCAAATCAGCTGCCTGTTTCAAGGAAGCACCAGAATCTTTTTTTGTTCGTTAGTTTTTTGAGACAGAGTCTCACTCAGCCACCTGGGTGGCATGCGTGGCCTCAGCTTAGCTCACAGCAACCTCAGATTCCGGTGCTCAAGCGATCCTCTTGCCTCAGCCTGGGACTGTAAGCTCTTGCCACAGTGCCTGACTGATTTTTCTATTTATAATAGAGATGGGGTCTCACTCTTGCTCAGGCTTGTCTCAAGCTCCTGACCTCAAATGATCCTCCCACCTCGGTCATTAGTGCCTAACGCTAAATAACAGTCACAGCTGTTTCTTGGTTTAGTAACCAGTGATGGGTTCCTTGGGAAATACTCTGTTCCACAACTACTTTAATTCCTAAGATCTATTTCCTGCCACTTCCTCTTTAATATGTGAAAAGTTACAGACACAGGTTTGAAAAAGCTTGTTTGCTAAGCTGATCGCTCGCAGTGAAAAATAATCTTTAACTGTTCATTCTCCTGTGTATGGTGAGGAATATATATATAAAACAGACGCTTGAAGAACTGCCAGGCATCCTGCAGTAACTGTCTCCTTGGGTCGGTCATGTTGGCACAAGAAAGCAGCCTCTCACATGGCCCAGAAACAGCAGATCGCGTGGGTACGGGGAGCAGAATGCAAACACCTAAGGGATTGCCTTTAAGATGTGGTTCTTGGAATGGCATCAACAAATATTTAGGAATTATGGATTGTAGAGTTTAATGAGACCCAAGGAGGCTTTACAAGTGCTTTGCTTTCATCCCTCAATGTTTTATGTACTGTGGATCTTGAGTACTCCAAGTTTGTTCTTTTTCTGATTATAGGTGATAGGACCCAACTTTTCCTTTTCTAATTTTTTTTAAAGGTTTTTGGAGAAATGGGGAGAAAAAAGTGGCAATGAACTCTTGTCAGGCAGGGACAGGCTATTCGTATTTCCACCTGTGATCCTTCTTGGATTACATCTTTTTATGATGCCCCACATGCAATACAGATTTTGGCTTTGCAGTATCTTCAGGAACAACATTCCATTAAAAAGGCCATTTTCATTCCTTTCCCTTTTGATTACTCCAGCTATCCCTGGAAGGGAAACTGCTTCATAGTTTGAAAATCACTGGTCTGGTCCGTGCGCCTCTTCCCCACCCTTCTTTCCACCCTTGCTGTGGAAGCCTCTGCGGGATTGTTTGCTAGAGTACGTTTCCTAATATCTTTATTGTTGATGTCAAATGCATACAGCAGTATGGTTTCTGTCATTTCTTAGGAAGAATATTCCATAGTATTTCCTGCAACCAAAAGGTAAATATAGCTAACCCATAACTGAAACTCACCACTTTGTTTTGTATTTTTAGAACAGTTCCTACTCTTTATAAGTTTGAGTACACCTTTCAAATGCACATTAATAATTGTGTTATTTTCGGTCAGTTGGTACCCCAAATACATATTTCATAGATCTTTCCTGTTATCCCTAACAATACATTTTGATTTTGTGTTCTATTATTTGTTTTTTTGTTTTTTTTTGAGACAGAGCCTCAAGCTGTCCCTCTGGGTAAAGTGCCATGGCATCACAGCTCACAGCAACCTCCAACTCCTGGGCTCAAGCGAGTCTCCTGCCTCCGCTTCCCAAGTAGCTGGGACCACAGGTGCCCGCCA